CTTGACATCTATTTTGTGTAGATCTAAGTGTTGTGAAGTTTGGATACCATTCTTGTCCCAAAAATCCTCAATATGATGCATGATGTGTTTTGGTTAAGTTAAGTTGTCCTTTCAGACCATAGGAGAGGTCTTGAGTGAGAAAAATGAGGTCCCAATGGCTTTGGTTGTCCCATGTGTGAAGTTGGATGGTCTTAATGGGTTAAGACCTTGAGTTAAGAGCTTTATAGACGTCAAACAGGATAAAGTTTGAGACTTTATGAGTCCTAGGCCCTTTTTGTCACTAGATCTGGCATATGGGCTTAAGTGCTTAAGCCATTAAGCACATGGAAGGATTTTGGTACAGACGCGCGTACGCCCCGCGTACCAGAGGAGTACGCCCAGCGTACGCCCTCTATTGGGTTTTCGAATTTAGGTCGTGAAGTATTGGGCTGTTTAAGGGCTAGCTGGGCTTGGGCCGTGACTGAACAGTATAGATGGAGTATTTTGGGCCCAATGATTATTATGGACCTTGGATCTAGGCCCGATTAGAAAGATGGGCCCAATTTAGTTAATTGGGCCAATATTGGGCTTTGCATAAGGACTTGGTTGTGGGACTTGGCTCAATAAAAGGAAAATGGATTTAAGGAGTGGTGTGGGCACTTGGCCTAGAAAGTCATGTTGGATTCTAACTCGGTGATTATCATGTGATAGTTGGGAGTTCCGGTGAGTCAGCGGTCAGAGATTTGCAGGATTTCGGCAGTTGCAAGGTGAGTTATCCTCACTATACCAAGGGTCTAAGGCACCAAGGCCGACCCTTTGAATTGTTATTTGAGTAATTGCTGTTGTGATATGTTAGTTTGGTATTCTGCTAGAATGGATGATTATATGCTAGGATGGTTGGTTAGATCGGCATCCTGGTAGACTGGATGTGGCTATGCTTAGTGACCTGTAGTTGGTCGGACTGTCTGTATGCTGGTAGGAGATTACCTGGGTTATGTGCGCATATTTGAGCAGTTGTAGAGGGTATTCCATCCTGGTAGGATGATAGGGCCCTAGTACGTAGTTTATGTGGACTATTATGTGATTATCTGGTAAGTGCACATGTTGTTAGTATGTGGGCATTCCAACCTGATGGTTGTGGGCCAGGAGTATTCCATCCCGGTAGGAAGATTGGACTCATAGTAGGTTGGCATTCCAACCCGATGGTTGAGGGCCTGAGGTATTCCATCCTGAGGGATGATTGGACCAATAATAGTGATTGTTGTATGTGTAGGAGTATGGGCATTCCAACCCGATGGTTGTGGGCCGAGAGTATGCCATCCTAGTAGGATGATTGGACTCGTGGTATGTTGGTATTCCAACCCGACGGTTGAGGGCCAGGGGTATTCCAACCTGATGGTTGACCGGACCCATTGTATGATGTTTATTGTTGTATGTGTATGGTTATGTGTGTATGGGTATTTTGGGGGAACTCACTAAGATTTCGAGCTTACGGTTTCAGTTTATTGTTTCAGGTACATCAGGTGATCGTGGCAAGGCAAAGGCGTGATCGTACCGCTCCTCATATTTCATGATTTTATGATTGGGTTCTGGGAATACTCTGATGTTTGAAACTGTTTTGAAAACAAGTTGTATTAACTTAATGGTTTTTGAACGGATTTAAAATGTTTTAAATTGGCTTAAATTTTATGGATGTTACATTACTCCTTGTGTCCTTTGTCTTTTGATGTTCCTGATAGGGTTTGGAGTGGAAAAGATGTTTCGTATCGTCATTTACGGGTCTTTGGATGCAAGGCTTTTGTGCATATTCCCAAAGATGAAAGATCAATGCTTGAAGTGAAGACCAAGCTGTGTATATTCCTTGGTTATGGTCAAGATGAATTCGGTTACAGGTTATATGATCCAGTTCTGAAGAAACTCGTAAGGAGTCGTGATGTTGTATTTGTTGAAGATCAGAGTTTAAAAGATATTGAGAAGACAAAGATAGTTCCTCAATCTAATGATGATCGTGTTGATTTGGATCCGGTTCCCCCTCAACATTTTGAGCAAATTAATGAAGATGTTCAGAATGATGAACAACAAGGTACTGATGACAATGATGTTCCAGAGCAGTCGGAGTTGGATGAGGATATTCAATCCAGAGTTGCCAGTACCTGATATACCACCATTTGTCCCACTCAGGCGGTCTACGAGAGATCGTCATCCTTCCACATGTTATTCTGCCGATGAGTATGTTTTAGTCACTGATGGGGGAGAACATGATTGTTATGTAGAAGCTATGGAAGATGAGCATAAAAGAGAGTGGGTTGAAGCTATGCAAGATGAGATGAATTCCTTGCATGAAAACAATACCTTTGAGTTGGTGAAGTTGCCTAAAGGCAAGAGAGATTTGAAGAACAAGTGGGTCTACAAAGTGAAGATTGAAGAACATACCTCACGGCCTAGGTACAAGGCTAGATTGGTGGTCAAAGGGTTCAGTCAAAGAAAGGGTATTGATTTTGATGAGATTTTCTCTCCGGTCGTGAAGATGGGTTCCATTCGGGTGATTCTTGGTTTGGTTGCTAGCCTTGATCTTGAGGTTGAGCAAATGGATTGCAAGACAGCTTTCCTTCATGGTGACTTGGACAAGGAAATCTATATGGAGCAACCTGAAGGTTTTCAGGTTAAAGGCAAAGAAGACTATGTGTGTAGGCTTCAGAAAAGTCTTTATGGGTTGAAAAAAAGCACCAAGACAATGGTACAAGAAATTTGAGTGAGTCATGGGTGAGCAAGGCTACCACAAGACTACTTCAGATCACCGTGTTTTCTTCCAAAGGTTTGGTGATGATGATTTCATCATTTTGTTGCTTTATGTTGATGATATGTTGATTGTTGGCAAGAATGCGGAGAGAATTGTTCAGCTGAAGAAACAATTGAGCAAGTCTTTTGCTATGAAAGACTTGGGGCCGGCAAAACAGATTCTTGGCATTCGGATTATTAGAGATAGAGCTTCAAAGAAGTTGCATATGTCACAAGAGTAATACATTGAGAAGGTGCTTTGCAGATTCAACATGGATAAAGCTAAAGTGGTTAGTTCGCCTCTAACTACCAACTTTAAGTTGACTGCTAGAGATTGCCCTTCTACTAAGAAGGAGATTGAAGAGATGGATAGAGTTCCATATGCATCATCCATTGGGAGTTTGATGTATGACATGGTGTGTACAAGGCCAGATATTGTCCATGCAGTTGGTGTTGTTAGTCGGTTTCTGTCAAATCCGGGAAAGAAGCATTGGGAAGCTGTTAAGTGGATTTTCAGATATCTACGTGGTACTTCAAAATTGGGTATAACATTTGGAAATGGAGCACCTATGCTTGTTGGTTATACAGATTATGATATGGCAGGAAATAAGGACAACATGAAATCCACTTCTGGATATTTGATGACTTGTGCAGGGGGAGCTGTGTCATGGCAGTCACGACTCCAAAAGTGTGTTGCCTTGTCCACCACTGAGGTTGAGTATATGGCAGCAACAGAGGCATGCAAAGAGTTATTGTGGCTAAAAAGATTTATGCAAGAGCTTGGATTTATACAAAAACACTACGTGGTTCTTTGTGATAATCAAAGTGTCATTCACCTTGCTAAGAATTCTATGTTTCACAAAAGAACAAAACATATCGATGTGAGGTATTATTGGATTAGAGATGCTATTGAAGACAACTTGTTTGAACTTCAGAAAATTCATACTGATGATAATGGTTCCGATATGTTGACTAAAGCTTTAGCAAGGGAGAAGTTGAAGATATGTTGCTCAATCGCCGGGATGGCGAACTCTTCCTCATAGGCCAAAAATGGGGAGATTTGTTGGGTTTTCTCTTGGGTTTTTTAGCCCATGAGGAAAGCCCACTTCTTTAGCCCATTATATATATATATATATATATATATATATATATATATATATATATATATATATATATATATATATGTATGTGTGTGTGTTACATGCCCTAATTTCAACAACACACAATATTTTTCAGCCACCAAGAGAGTTAGAAACAGTAAGAAGCAAAAGAGAGTTTTTTCTCAATTCCCGTTTTTGAAGATACACCTGCATTGTTTGGTAATTTCCCGGAGATCCAGAGGTCGGTTTTCTCTCATTTTTGGACAGCAGCTTCCCAACATCGAAGCCTTCAGATCCAACGGTTGATTGTCAAGATCAGCTCCAGAGACTCAGGAATCGTCGCTTCTGTTTGCTGCTGGAAATCAGTAACGTTTTTGGTGATATTCTTCTTTGTCTTTGCTTATTGGATTCCATATGCTTGATGTGATTTAGTTCCAAGTATATGATGATTATTGTATGTCTCTAGTACATCTAGAGAAGACTTTGTATTGCTCTAATATTGGTGATAGTGGATTTGAAGCAGCTCTAGTAGTCCCGTGGTTTTACTCTCTTTTCTTGAGAGGTTTCCACGCTAAAATTTCGGTGTCTTTATTGGTTGATTACTTATTGTTTTGGGTTGATTATATTGATCATATAACTTGCATTGGGGTTGATTTGTTGCAATTGAAATTATCATATTTGTTTGCATCCTAAAAGGTTCATTCAAGACGGGAATAATTTAGTCAAACGAAGTATTATTCCGCATTGTTATTTACCGTTGTGGCTGCGTTTTTCCCATCATCTAATACCCTCTTTTCTTGTAGTATGATTATATATTAAAGTTGCTTACGTTATAAAATAACCGTTCAAGCTATCATATGAAGTAGGGGAGTTAAACAAATATTATACGTAATACCTATAGGTAAATAAAAGAAGTAAAAGATTTAATTTGACCATCTCTACATGCATTCACATTGCTTACCTACAATGACATAGGACATGTAAGGCCTTGGTATGAAAAAGTAATCAACAGTCTCGTATCATCTTCCTAAAGCCAAACGGCCACAACGAAAAACAATATACATACTGAATTTTATTGACGCAAAACAAATAACATGAAACTGGTACGTACATGGGAAGTAAATATATTTGGTGTTGATTGAATTATCTCCTTGTGGTCTTCTTGTAAAGCATTTGAATGGAGAGCCAAACGAGTAGTAGAAGTGTTATAGAGGACACGAGTGATAGAATAAAAGAGACAGCACCACGTAAGCAGAAGGAATCATATGTATTACACACCTTGTTCCATCTGCTATGAGAGTTCCCTTTGAATCCAATGTATGCGACTCCAATTGCTGCTCCTGTTGCTGAAGCCAGAATCCCTAATAGCAACTGCACCACAAGAATTGATTTTATGTTAGTTCACTAAAGCTTAAGTAAGGAGGTTTGGATTCACAATTATGTACATTTAAGTCAGAAAAATTCATTTTTATGAAAGATTGATACAACTTGTAGTCAACTTACAGCATCAATCATCACAAAATGAAGCTGCAGTTTTGTGGAGCTTCCTCTTGGCTTCATAAGTGCCAAAACGGATAGCACACTTGAGACGATGCTGTATAAGCAAGCAACTGAGAGCGCTGTTACCAAGTATCTGCAACATGTTACATATATAACGACACTTCCTATTAACTGTTGTTATTCTCGAACTCATAAACATCGGTTCAACAAACAAAGTTTATTGAATACTTACATGAAAGATGGGACATAATTTAATTCTGCAGACAATGGTATTGCCACGCCTGGGGCAACTGGAATCAATTTAGTTTGTTTAGAAGTGACCATAACAATGATTGCAACTAAAGCTGTCGTGAATACAAACATCCTTAAACCAACAACAACGACCACCAGACTTGAATTAATTACATTGTATTTTGGTGGTGGTTCTGACTGCTTCCCTGGTGGTCCGGCAGTGGCAGGTGGAGGAGATGTGGCGTCATACGATCCCATGGCTACCAGAATTTGGAAAGAAGCAAAGTGAAGCTTGTGTTTTGTGAAGGTATGGTTGGGGCTTTGGTGGTAGTTTCATACTACTTTTTGTCAACTGATTTGGGTCGATATTTTTAGGATGCTCATGACACACATGGTATAGATTAAAGCCTCCTGTTAAACGATCCACTTTGAAGTCGTTGTGAAATAAAAGAAACATAAAACTCAATGGTCCGTATAATATTTATTAGTTGATTGCACAAGAAGTCCAAACAATATTTTTTATGGATATACAGCAGGTATACATAATCTGCCTAGTTCTAATAAAGCTACCTCATTTAAAAGATGATGTAAAATAGACAAATCCTACTAGTTAGGTAACTCATCAAATTGAGTAATTTCGAGTATAAGTTATAATGGCGTGTGCCATCACTCTTTTGTCCAAGTTTACACATTTTAAGAAATTAATTAATCATGTACAAAAACAATAATCTAAATATCTCTTTTGCAAACCAGTTTGATCGAAACAGTAAGCAGCTATTTATTGAAATCCAAATGTATTCGTTTCAGTGGATCAAGAATATGACCTGCAAGGATTAATTGGTTGGATCTATAATTGGTGAAACTAGCTAGTGTAGTAGTCCTAAAGTCGGTGTATAGTACCCATATCTGGATACATAACTAGTGCCTTGCTAGTTTGTCCTTTTTGGGTTTTGTTATTTTTTTTGTTGTATTTGAGATCCACTTTTAAGTATGCTTCCTTAGTGTTTCAGGAAATGAGTATTTCTTAATAAGGTTTTAGATTTAACCGGGCTATAACCAATCTAACTTTGGTGAAATAATGATTTACCTACCCTATTAAACTGGTAGCAATACACAACACTTGGCGTCTTCTTAAAAATTACTTGGTCCACTGATGTCATTATCTTAATTAATGAAATAGTTGACTTGATTATCATTTAACTAATGAAATAACGAATCACTTGCTTGAAGGAGATATTGTTTTGTAGATCTTATCTTAAATTTAAGAAATAAAGAATCAATAGCCAACATTCTCTAGAATAACGTGCAGGGTTTTGATAATCAGTTTGAAGTGTTATAACTTATCGTTGAATATACCATAGTAGTTTTAACTTCAAAACAAGCAAAACTCAAACAATTTTTGTGTGTTGTTCGTGTAGATGTGGGGAATAAGGTCTCTATTCTAATAAAAAAATAAGTTTATTCTTTTTTTGTCATTTATAATCGTACGTCTTCTAATTAATGCCATGTTATTTGTCTACCTGTTGATTCTTTATTTCAAATTTTAAATTTTAAATTTCTTATTCTAATTATATTAAATTAATAACATTAGAATAAAATTTAAAATAAAATTAATACAGATTATAAGGTCATGTATTTATTTAAATCAACGATTATAATTTTATATAACTAAAAAAATATTTCTTAACTAATAACTTATTTGAAATAATTTATTTAAAATAATTGATTAATAATTTTAATCTTTTACTATAAAAGTTTAATTAATTTTGTAACCGTGGTTCCCACGGATTATAAACTAATTACTCAATAAATCACTTGGATGAACCACGGATTATAAACTAATTACTCAATAAATCACTTGGATTGTCTAAGGCATGTCCTATCCTTGATCTATAATTAGATATTAAAATATCATCGTTAATAAGTGGTTTAGTGCCACACACATGTATTAGAATATAAGTTATGATTCAAGTGATTTTTTTGCAAAAGATGATCGTAGATATTTCTTAATTGCATTTCATTTAACATGAATAAGTTAACTGTATTATTGTGTTATCAGTTTCAACCGACAACAATTCATTTGATGGAGTAGGGAATGACGAAAAGTTGTATAAACTACAAAAAAAATCAAATTTTCAATAGATAACCGTATATCCAACCAACTTTTTTTCACGGATCTTCATAAAACGAAACTTCTAAATATTTAATCAATTCTTTATTCAATATCATTTTTTTTTTCCAATCGCTTAAAAATTATAACATTAATTAATTTTTTGGTATACTCTTCATTTAACCATATCATTTAATTATATGAGAATTGCAAACTTTTATAGACACGAACATCCAATTATAATCAACCAAGAATTTAAGTTTCGATTTACGTATCATTCTTTATAGAATATTTAATTTTAATAAAACAGAATATGATTTTTATCAATTTTTAAAGAGAAACTCCTTTTCATTTCAAGAATTTTCATTCTAAATTCATTGAGTTTTACTTTTTCTGAACGGCCATTTAATTAGTCCATTGTCGCCTACCAATGACTAAAAGTGAAACAAAAATAATACTCCGGGTTGCTCAATGTTAAAAAAAATTTAGGAACCAGACAAATTGCATCAAACCACATGGATCAGTGCGTATTTGTGATGTGTTGTCATGAATTAATCTATTCTAGTAGTTGTTGCTCTAATCATGCATTTTCCATAAAACCATCTCATATATATATATATATATATATATATATATATATATATATATATATATATATATATATATATATATATATATATAAAAGTTCAATAGAGAACCATAATTATTGGTTCTTCAAGGAACCAAATCTTTTTTTCAATTTCTAGAGCTTATTCTTTGTCGAAAAAAAAATCTAAAAATATCTAAATTAATATATTACATTGTGAATGTGAAAATATTTTTCGGATTCACCGTGTGAATCCAGATTCAGATTGTGAATCCAGATTCACATTGTGAATTTTCAAAGATTCACATTGTGAATTTGACGTAAAAAAAAAAAAAAAATCGAATTTGATATCATTGGAAAAATGATAAAAAGTTATGAATTTCTGTATTTTTAGTTTTTATTTTTGATAAAAAATAAGTTCTAAAAATTGAAAAAAAGATTGGTTCCTTGGTTAATTATAGTTCTCTATTGAACCTCACCCTCTATATATATATATATATATATATATATATATATATATATATATATATATATATATATATATATATATATATATCAAGGTTGTAAAAAGCGTTCGGCAGACGCTCAACAGTCGACTGGTGTCTGGTGCCAAACGATTAATCGGTGTTGGCGGCGATTAATTGGAGAGCCTTATATTAATATATATATATATATATATATATAATAATATATATATAATATATATATATATATATATATATATATATATATATATATATATATAGGCTTAGGTTATTGTATTCTAATTAATTATTGTGTGGATGTAGGGATGAAAACATTGGAAGTCCAGAAAAGTCTTCTCTTCCCAATGGAAAGGGATCGGCCATAGTCAACCCGGTTGATCAAATGGTAAAGAGAAAGGCTAAGTCTGAGATAGTCTCATGTACCATTACTAAAGAGTCCATATGTTTCTATTGCCAAAGGAAGGGGCATTGGTTGCGAAACTGCCTTATTTACCTGAAAGTTCACTAGGATGGTAAAAGTCAGGTAAAGTCCACTATCTAACCCTATTAAGTTCCTATTTGGAGATTCGTATTACATGATGTGACTAGGTCGCATTTTGATGTTTTGTAGAATCGAAAAAGGAGAGGAAGCTTAGAAGAAGAGTATGTTGAATCTGATCGTGAAGATGGATTTCGATCTCATGATTCGAAGATCAGAATTTTGAGTTGTTGCTTAAGAGTTATGATAAATTGTTTAGGAATGGATAACAACATAGTTTTCATATGTATTTGCATTGTAAGGATAAGTTTTTCCACAATTTTAAAATAAAAGGAAAATTTTTGATTTTATTTATTTAAAGTATCCTTACAATGAGATTTGTGAAAATTATTGTTTATATGATTCCATTGGTAGCAATATTGGAAAATAGATTTGATTCTTTTCGTTTGTGGTAGTGTCATAATTTACCAAATAAGGAAAGATTCTCATCACCCACGTTTCAGTTCGATAGAAACTTGGAATCATGCAACTTGTGTTGTGTGATGAATGAGAATTTTCATCTTTGGGAAATTAAGACTAATTCCTTGTTCACATGCATATGTGAGTCAAGTGAAGGACTAGGAGATCGGGTACACTTGGTTGTGCGCTGATCAGGTCCACCACAAAGAACGATAAGGCTATTCGTCATGATTTACTAAAGTTTAGTAAATATGGTTATGCTTACAAGTTTAAGTGTAATTCTGAAACATCGGAAAAGTGTCAATGTATGACAGGACGAATGAGTAGAATCAAATTAGGCAGAAAGATAAAAGTTTCTCCAATCTGAAAAGATGGGAGAGTACTTCAGTATCATGTTTTATGATCATCTTAATGATTAGGAAAAACCATATCACAATTGATCCTCTAAGGACATCTTGGTGCATTTGTTTGACTAAGAAGAGGAATCGTGAATTGTTGAAATGGTTAAATCAAAAGATGAATCATACTTCGTTCCAAAATTGAGTCTTAGAGTAACACTCCAAGATCGAGCCTTTAGTGACATAGTGTTAAGAAGGTTTAAAACAATTATCAAAAATGTAGAGTAAAATGTTTTCTACTCTTGTACATTTGAAATTGGTGAGTTGTGATGTTTTGGATAAAACAAAGACCAACTAAGGCCAATTGTATGAAGTGTTTGTCTTGATAAGAATCCGCACTAACTTTTGAATATTTTCTTTGTCAAGGAATGGTTCTTGATAAGATAATCTTATATGTCAAGAGGTTAGTGGGAGTCTTAAAGATCTTGAAAAGTTTCAAGAACTAATCAAGGGTATTGTTAAACACTAGCACACGACTTGAGGTTTATAGCCTATCGTGTTGACATATTCTTGTTTCTGTGCCCATTCCAGTTAAAGTTGACTATGCATGTGAGTTCTATGAGTTCTCAGTTGTTTGCATACTACTTGGAAGCAATGGTATGTCCTTGTGCTGTCGGGTGGCAAGAAAACTAAGATTAAACAAGTTCAATCCATATGAGTCTGGATTTGTCACTAACCTTGTCTTGTGATTATAGTTATGAAAAATTCACATGGATAGGAACACATACACCATAAAATCTAA